AAAAGGAAAAGCCAAGAGGAAAGATCAAGAACAAGTCAGTAAAAAAAAAAGAAAGAAAGAAAAGAAAAGAAAAAGAAATTTACCAATAAACAAAAGATGTGGGCAGGTGCCTCACAAGATACTCAAATAGCCAATAAGAATATTGAAAAAGTGCTCAACAACGTCAATCATTAGGAAGATGCAAATTATAACTTCAGAGAAGCTAAAATGAAAGGATTAGCAATACCAAATGTTGGCAAGGATGTGGAGCAACAGGAATTCACAGACATTGGTGGGGAGTATTAACCTGTTCAACCATGGGACTGCAAATTGGTGCAGCCAATATGGAAAGCAGTATGGAAATTCTTTGGAAATCTGGGAATGGAACCACCATTTGACCCAGTTATCCCTCTTCTTGGTCTACACCCAAAAGACTTTAAATCAGCATACTTCAGGGCCACAGCCACATCAATGTATATAGCAGCACAATTCACAATAGCTAAACTGTGGAACCAACCTAGATGCCCTTCAGTAGATGAATGGATAAAAAAAATGTGGCATATATGCACAACAGAATTTTACTTAGCAATAAAAGAGAATAAAATCATGGCATTTGCAGGTAAATAGGTGGCGTTGGAGAAGATAATGCTAAGTGAAGTTAGCCAATCCCAAAACCAAAATGCCGAATGTTTTCTTTGATATAAGGAGTCTGATTCATAGTGAGGTAGGGAGGGGGAGCATGGGAGGAATAGACAATCTCTAGATAGGGCAGAGGGATGGGAGGGGAAGGGAGGGAGCATAGGGTTAGCAAGGATGGTGGAGAGTGATGGACATCATTATCCAAAGTACATGTATGAAGACACGAATTGGTGTGAATATACTTTGTATATAACCAGAGATTGAAAAATTGTGCTGTGTGTAATAAGAATTGTAATGCATTCTGCTGTCACTTATTTTTTAAAAACTCAATTAAAAAAAACCGTTCAACCACATTGAAAAACTGCCTGGCAGTTTCTTTGTTAAACACCTGACAGCTCTATGGCCCAAGAAATGCATTCCTAATTCTTATGGACATACCCAAGAGAAATAAATGCTATGTCCACAAAAAGATGTATACAAAAATGTTAGCAGCACCTTTATTAATAATTTCTTCAAAAGGGAAATGATACAAATGTCCTTCAAAAGGAAAATGGAGAAACAAATTTTGAGATATTGATACAATTAATTTTGTTCAGCAGTAAAAGAGAAAAACTTCTGATACACACAACACTGATGATTCTTGTAACAGTCAATTTCAAACATTTCCCATTTGCCACTGTCACAACTTGAGTATCAATGAAAATAATAGTTGCTATTAATTATAAATAATGAGTAATAGGCATTAGTAATTACTAATATAAGTAATAAAACTTACTCATCATTTGGTTAGCTAAAATAAACTATCTATAAAATATACAAGTTCCAATAATACTCAAAAGTTAATAGAATGCAGTAACTTTTGATTTTTTTAAAAAAAACTATGACCCATAATTGAAAATATATTGTATGTGATTCAGCACACACACACACACACACACACACACTTTTTTTTTTTTTTTTTTGAGACCAGGTCTTGCCATGTTGCCCAGCCTGGACTTAAACTCATAGGTTCAAGCAATCCTCCTGCCTCAGTCTCCCATGTAGCTGAGACTACAGGTATGCACCATAGAATCAGCTCACACATACTTTAAACATTGTAGAAAATATTACCATTATTATTATGTTTGATGAAACCTGTTTCTATTTTATTCTACTTTTTAGTTAATTTTAAACAATGATTACACAAACAACCAATTGGTTGTAAACTACAGTTTATAAAACACCAATAAAGTTTCCAAAATTTGGTCAAAATGAAGGATGAGGGTAATTTTTACTGATTTTGAGATTTTGGTAAATAGGTATAAAGGAATTTTATATGCCAACTTGACTGTCCCAGATATTTAGTTAAGTGTTATCTCTGGAAGTTTCCGTGAGGGTGCTTCTGACTGATTAGCAATTCAGTTTGTGAACTGGATAAGCTGTGTGTCCTTCTCAATGTGGGTGGACATCATGTCATCCAAGGAGGGAAAATTCCCTCTCTCCCTTTCTCTCTCTCTCTCTCTCTCTCTCTCTTTCTTTCTCCCCTTCTCTCTCCCTGACATTTGAGTACGAACATCAATCTTTGCCTGCATTCAGACAGGAACTTAAACATTGTTCTCCAGTTGTCAGGCTTTGGGCTTTGACTAGAACTTACATCACTGGTTCTCCTGGTTTTCAGGTCCTCAAACATGGACTAGAACTATACCACTGATTTTCCTGGGTCTCCAATTTGCAGATGCCAAATCATAGGACTTCTTAGCCTCCTTAACTGTGTGAAACATTTGCTTAAATTTAATCTACATATGTATGTGTGTGTATATATACACACATATATATTTGTATCTATATATGTACGAGTGTGCGAATATATACACACCCATATCTCCCATGGGTTCTGTTTCTCTGAAGAACCTGAATATTATTATATATGGATATTTTGTTTCAGTAATCCCATGCCTATTTTTATATAAGACATGTACTTGTTGCTCTTCAATGTATGCATAGAAGAATAATATTCAGATAACTGTAAGTAAATCAAATAGTCCTAGAAAAAAATAAGAATTATACCCAAAAGAGAAGGAATTTTCCAGTATGGGTAATAAAATGGTCTATAGAAAAGGAATCCAAAAATATGTTTCTTAATGATAAAATTACCAGAATTAAATATGTTAAAACTCAATCTTTCACGTCTAGGGATTGTAGCCTCTACATTACCAAACTAACTATAATAAAATGCTAATAAAAATACATAATTTTATTCTTAATTTCTGAAGAATTAATATATTCACATGGTTCATATTTTAATATAAAATATGAATAGGTATGAATGATACTAAATATTGCTATGGCTTGGATATGAGGTATCCCCTGAAGGCTCACATGTGAGATAATGCAGGAAAGTTCAGAGGTTAAATGATTAGATTATGAGAGCTATAACCTAATCAGTGGATTAATCCATTCGATGGAAAAATAATTAGAATAAATTAATGGGTGGTACCATAGACAGGTAGGGCATGACTTGAGTACTAGGTCACTAGGGGTGGAACCCTTGGGAATTATATTATCTGTGGCTCCTAGATTCTTCAAAACAAAAGGCTTTCATCTACACCCTCATTTAACAAAGAAACTGAAACCTAGGAGGTTAAGTGACTAGCCCTAAGATACACAGATTATTCTTTACCTGAATAGCTTCAATGGAGTAGGTGTCTTTAAATTAAGCCCACAGACCTAGGGATCTTTAATTAATTGCAAGGATTTATATACCTCCTGAGAGTTAGTGTAAAAAAATGGTATGGATTTATAGGTTTGGTAGTTTTTAGGAGTCCCTAGTTTTCATTAAATTTTCAAAGGTGTCTATATTTGTTCAGATAAATTCTCAGCTTCCAGCACAATAAACAGCAGTAGAGATATAAACAACAGTTGACTGTGTCAAATTTTCAACCAAGAAGAAGTTAATAACCATCGAAATGGTAAAATATAATATAGTCATTCTCTGGAAAATAATCCACACAATGTCCTGCCCCCATCATGCTCCAATATCCTGTATAGTCTTTCATCACCTTATTGTTTCAAGTCCCAGGTGAATTACCCAATGTTGTGCTTGTCTTTTAAACTAATTTTAAAAGAGTTTTAAAATCGCAGTCTCATCTGCTTTTGGAAATCATCCATCTTTTTAATTTAATTTTACAATCTTATTTAATTAACAAGAGTTTAATGACAGTTAATAAATGATATATTAATTAATTTAGGGAGTGACTATTTTGTCCTTATTAAAGTAATTCAAATTTTAAGTGCTTGTAATTTTAATTCATTCAATCATGTAAGACATTCCAAATCCAATTACACCTAAGTTACCTTACTTTACTGTTAGTTCAAGTCTGAAGGAAAATCTCTAGTACAACAGAACATATGCAGGAGTGATTATCCAAACTGTAACTTTGAAAAGGCAGGGAAATGCCTTGGACCCAAGCCATAAGCAGTGGGCAACAGCACCTCAGAGAAGGGTCCCAATACATATTTGAGGAAGCAAAGAATTATAAAGAAGTAACTAATGCTGTTCAGAGGATAGATGGCCTAAGCAGGGCACCATCAACCTTAAGAATAGCTAACAACACGCACTAGTGAAGGGTGGATTCTTAGGCCCTTGTCTCTAAGAGCATGTGTTTTTGTGGGACATTAAGGAATGGCACTAAACTGTATCAATGCACTTACCAAATACAACTCTCTTGTTAGTGTACATTCCTTTTCATAATTTGTTTCTAATAACATACAAATATGGAAGCAGCCAGAGACACAGAGAAGGTAGTCTTGAGACAAAAAGTATGATACCTTGCAAGAAACAGGCCAGGTCGTTTCATTCATATATATATATATATATATATATATATATATATATATATAAAATGATGAATCCCATTTTACTCGGAAATAATTTATAGTCTATAAAGGTATTTAGATATCATGATTCACTTATCTAATAGAGATTAAAAGCTCTCTGCCTTTACAAGACTGGGTTTTACTCAGCTCAAAATAGCTATTTAATAAATTACTGTGAATATAAATTAAGTATAATCAAGAGCATTATTAAGCAAAACCAAGAACGGACAAAGTCTTTTCATGTATCTTGTGTAGCTTGCTAGACTACTTGATACCAGCATTTCTCACACTAGAAACTGCCTGAAAAAGTAATCATCCATTTACAGACTTCTAAGACCATCTGAGACTTAAAAGCCATAAAAGAAACAAATGGGAATTGTGAATGCTTACTAGGTGAGATGAGACAAAAAGGGTATTTCTATCTTGTTATTCTTTATCTCCTAGGACAATGATCTTCAATATTTTAAGACAGAAGAACCTAAGATTCAGACTTTAATGAAACATTAATTTCAATCTGTTTATCTCACCTGGTGCTGGGGTTTTTTTGTGTTGACTGGTGTTTTTCTAGCAGCTGAGAATGAAATCTTTGGAGAAACTGTGGATCCTGTTTTTTTAAAAAAAAGTAGATATTTTGTTGTTACAGATTTTATTTTAAACCTATTCACCTTATGATCCATTTATGAGATAGAATACTAACCACTTCTTAAAATGGAGGCATAGATGTATATTTAATAAAAGGCTTACCTTAATTTCTCCTGCTTTTTGTGAATAATACATTTTAATTTTTCTTGCTTTTTTATATTGAACACTACTTCACACAATTAAGTATAATGTAGTAGATACAGGCCCAGAATGAGATGATTTCAACTCAGAAATAAATTCTAATGTTTGTGCAATAGGATTACATAGAAATGTTCTTACTTTCTAAGCTTTTCCCAGTTACACCAATAGTTTGCCTCGATGGAAGACCACTGTGAAAATTTTTTAGAGTGGAAGAAACTGTCTTCATCACCCAGGAAGGTACAGATATTTTCTCATAGTTAATCTGTGCAGTTACCAGACAATGACCCTGAAAAAAGACAGATAGCAGAGAAACTTGGAGTTTAAATGCATCACCTTCCATGTTGATACATAAAGATTATATGCAATAAAATGTCAAAAGAAGATTGAAATTACTATGGGTTAGCCATGCTATTGAACCATCTAATATCCATGGATAATCTGATCAGGTTCAACCAGCTCCCTAGACCTAGAACTGATCAGTAATAGGAAAGCGTGTCAGCCCTTCATATCTGTGGGTTCCACATCAGTGAATTCAGCCAACTGCAGATTGAAAATATCCAGCAAAAAGTTGCATCTTATTGAACAGGATAACTGATTTTTTTTGTCATTATTTCCTAAACAGCACAGCACAAAACCTATTTCCATGACATTTACTTTGTATTAGATATTATAAGTAATCTTGAGATGATTTGGAGTATACCAGGCAAGGATGTATGCAGATTGTATGCAAATACTACACCACTTTATATAAGGGACTTGAACATCCATAGATTTTGGTATCTGTAGGAGGTCCTGGAACCAATCCTCCACAGATACCAAGGGACAACTATAATCATTGGTTATAGCTCCCTGCCAGAATTTTAACTGAAAATTTAATGCTTCAATTACATACTTACAGATGTGATGAATACAAAGAAGCAGGATTTTAAATGATCAGAGATAATGGTTGTTCCAGCCCTGAAAGTAGGCGGGGGTAGGGAAGATAACAAGGCTCATTGAAAAATGTATTTATTTATACAAAAATTCCTATCAAAACTATTATGTGCTGGACTCAGCATAAAATGAGCCAGATGGAGACAGTCGCCCACTATGTGGAATTTAATGTATTTATCTGCTCTCAAGTAATTCTTGTGCCTACCTTGTAGAATTAGGGCGGGGAGGGCAATAGCCCACAGTGGCTTAGTCTTGAAAAGCAAGGATGTATTTTATTTGCACTATAATTGGAGATATTAAGGAAATACATTAGAAAAATGTGAGAGAGATGACTATAAGATATCATTTAAGCAAATGTGCAGTGGCATAATCAGAATAATTTGAGCTAAGATTATTAAGTAGATAAAGCTTGACTTTGGCCAAACTTGACTTTAGTGCTCTACTTCCATTTTCATAGATTTCTTTTCTTTGTGTGTCTCTGAGGTTCCCTGTCTTCTTCCTGCAGTAACCCCCTGGATATTCACCATCCATGGCTTCAGAGCTAATCCAAGGCCAAATAACTAATTTGATAAGCTAATCTCTACTAAATTGCCATGGGAAATAATTAGTATTCTCCTCCTAAATAAAGTTGTGAATTTTAGGGCTGAAGTTGTGGCTCAGCGGTAGAGTGTTCACCTAGTACGCACTGGGTTCGATCCTCAGCACCACATAAAAATAAATAAATAAATAAAGGTATTGCGTCCATCTGCAACCATAGATATATATGGTTCTGAATTTTAATTTCAGCTTTGTAGAGGACTTTGATGTTACCTGTTGGGTCCAAGCATCACCTAATGACCTCTCAAATTAAACCCTACTTTCTTTCCTTCCTTGGATCACAAGCAGGATCCTGCGTGCTGCTGTCTGCAGAGACCCTAAACAAAGTCTCTGCCATATTGTACCAGATGCCATACTGTCCCAAGGAAAAGAACTCAGAGATGATGATGGCAAAACTCCCAATGTACATAAATGTACACCTGGCTCTTTTTGGAAGCAGGATCCAATCTCCTCTTTACATGTTATAGAATTCAAATCCTGGTACTGACTTCATTATATAATGGAGAAAAAAGACTCAGGAAATTAACATTTTTAGAGTTCCTTTAGAGTAAAACTCTTAATTCATAGAGGAGCACTTAAACCCAGGATCTTAAATTAGTAACTTATTTGAATTTTGAAAATAGAAAAGTGAAAATGCAGCATTTTAAAGAAATAAGTCCTTTGAGTAAAAATTCTAATTACTAGTTATTCTCTGAGATGATAGTTGTTATAATAAAAAAATACTATTATAAAGGCTAATTAGAATGAAAATCATACGGCAACTTAAAGTTTTTCTTTTTCTTTCTTCAGACATAAAAATATAAGTTGAAGATTAGAGTAAATGTACTTTGGATTTTCTAAACTAATGCAAATGTTTTGCCTTAAAAGTGGCCTAAAAGGGACTTTTCTCTATAATTATCTTGGTCAAAATACAGAGGTTGAGTAGTGATTGGGTGGAAATATGAAGCATCCTATATTGTCACGGTGATAACCTGCATTTCCACACATTAGAACAGTCATAACATTCCGTCCATAGTTTGCCCCAGAGCCATAAATGACTATCAGCTGGTACCATCAGTTGCTCTCACAACATTTGGAAAATGATGATCATTTCCTTATCTTATTTGCTGCCCTGCAGATAATATAGAGTAAACAACAGATAAATGAGGATTCTTTTACAAAGGCAGCTGCAACTTGATAAAAAATCTGCCAGGGATTCATTTTACTAGATGTTGTGTATTAAATACACAAGCCTGGAATGGAAGTTCTCTGGGGGGAAAAACACACAGATATCCTGTCTCCCCAACATGATTATATGAATGGCCTCACAATCTTGGCATAGAAGCCCATAAAACTTGAAAACCTACTTGGTAGGTGTAGAGAAGACCTTCCAAGATATTCATGGAATTAGAAATGTTCTCGACTGAAAAATACCAGTACAATCACTATTGCCTAATAAATCCTACAAAAAGGTAAATTCTGTGATGTTTAAGAGTTAAAGGAAGAATATCCACACCGAGGTTCATAAAGAATTTATAAACAAAGGTGCTCAGAGGTTCAAGGACTAAAGAAACCACATATGGATGGAGGAGCCAGGAGAGGTTCTCATGATAGAGATGATTTTTGACATGGTTATAGGCAACAAGCAGGGGCATGACTGGCAGAGACAATACTGAAGGGTCTGAAAGAGAACCATGTTTACTAATTCATTTAACACATTTCACTTGAATGTTTTATCAACTAATTCTAAAAGACAACCATTTAGTGGAAAATATAACCATGCAACCTGTAGTATCGGCGTAAGGAGCAATGAACCAGAAATTCTATCTTTTCTTTGGGCCATGAAGAGAATAATGGGAGATTCCTGTTGAGAAAGAGAAACACATTCATTAGAATTCAGAAGGAGGCTCTGGGCTATCATTCCCATTCTTCAAAGGTGACTATACTTTCTGTTGTTCATTCTAAGATCAAGATCAAAATCCATACTTCCCAGCCTATCAATCCCCCTCTTGGCCCAAGAGAACCCAGCATTACTTTCCTTACTTTTCAGGGCCACTCCCACCTGCCTACTCTGGCCTCACCTGAGGGTAATGACCTCTAGTTGTCCTCCACAGCTACCAGGGTCTCCTGGGCTTGATGGCACTATTCAGGGCCGTGGAGACTCCCCTTTCTCTTGGAGAGACTCAGCCCATGATTACCCCCATCATAAGTCTGCTGAGTACAAGAGGGTAAAGCTTCAAAGACACCCAGGGCCTTTATTCATCCGGACCCAAAGAAGTGAAGCCTTGAGAGAATCCAAGTTCTCCTCACTGCCCCCATCCTGATGAATTCTGGTGTCCTGAGGACCTTCCTTTTGCCCTGATGGTTGCCATTCAGTGACTGCATCCTTCCAAGGAAAGACACCAGATTCTTCTCACAAGGGGACAGCCTTGGTCCATGACTTCCTTCTGCCATCAGCAAACACACACACCACACAAGCCTCCGTCTTCTGCTTGCACCCAGAGGGCTAGAGGAGTTTCACACCAACACACATCTGTGGCCAAATGTTTGACTACTATTGTGACTCCCAGGATCTCCTCTATCTTCCTATAAGCACTGGAGCCCAGTTCCTGTTCACTGGACTCCTGACTTCCACATCTAGAATGTGCCAGTCCCATTTCTAAGGCTGCATCTTGTTTCCAGAATCCCTTCCTGATATTCTATTTATGCACCCCTCTGAATCCACAAAATCCTTGCTTCCCAGCCTTGTTCTGCCCCGTGGGAGAAAACCTGAATTGTGAAGCCAAATAGGGTCCGGGAAACCAGTAGTTTCCAAAACCTACCTAGTCACAAGGAATCCTTAGGAACACTCAATTAAAAACACAGATCCTTGGGGCTGGGGAGCGGTAGAGTGCTCGCCTGGCATGTGTGGGCCACTGGGTTCGATCCTCAGCACCACATAAAAATAAAATAAAGATGTTGTGTCCTGAAAACTAAAAAATAAATTCTCTCTCTCTCTTTTTATTTTATTTTATTTTTTTAATTGGTTGTTCAAAACATTACAAAGCTCTTGACATATCATATTTCATACATTAGATTCAAGTGGGTTATGAACTCCCATTTTTACCCCAAATACAGATTGCAGAATCACATGGGTTACACATCCACATTTTTACATAATGCCATACTAGTAACTGTTGTATTCTGCTACCTTTCCTGTCCTCTACTATCCCCCCTCCCCTCCCCTCCCATCTTCTCTCTCTACCCCATCTACTGTAATTCATTTCTCTCCTTATTTTTTTCCCATTCCCCTCACAACCTCTTATATGTAATTTTGCATAACAATGAGGGTCTCCTTCCATTTCCATGCAATTTCCCTTTTCTCTCCCTTTCCCTCCCACCTCTGTCTCTGTTTAATGTTAATCTTTTCCTCCTGCTCTTCCTCCCTGCTGTTTCTCTCTCTCTCTCTTAAAAAAAAAAAAAAAATCCTAAGCTCCTCTGCTAAAGACCCTGCTAAGGCAGGGCGTGGCAATTGATTTTTAAATGATGTCCTAAATGATCTCTAAGGTGTTTGACATTTAGAAAAATACTAGAGTTTACTATGCCTTCCTAGACCTGGCAATTTAGACTTCTAGACCTTCTCAGATTCATTTCCCCTGGCTCCAACCCCAGCTAGTCTCAATCCTGTCCTTTTCTCTCCCATTTCCCAGCACATCTTACAGCCAAGGAAGGTCACCCTTGTCATGCCACTTCTTTTTTTAAAAAAATTTGTTTATTCTAACTAGGTATATTTGACAGCAGAATGCATTTTGATTCATTGTACACAATTGCAGCACAACTTTTCATATCTCTGGTTGTACACAATTAAGTTTGCATCGTATGTGCAGTCATGCATGTATCTAGGGTAATGATATCCATTTCATCCCACCATCTTTCCTGCCACCATGCCACCTCCCCTCCTCTCCCTTCCCTTTGCCCAATCACAGTTCCTCCATTTTCCCATTTTCCCCCTCCCCTGTTATGGATCAACATCCACTTATCAGAGAGTACATTCGGTCTTTGGTTTTGGGGGATTGGCTTACTTCTCTTAGGATGATATTCTCCAACTCCATCCATCTACCTCCAAATACCACAATTTTATTCTCTTTTAATGTTGAGTAATATTCCATTATGTATATATACCACCTTTATCCGTTCATCTATTGAAGGGATCATGCCTCTTCTTACACTCAGAAATCTTCCTGACCTAAGATTCTCACACTAGCCTTCCCAGGTCAGTTCCAAGGAAACTGGATAGGATCGCTGGCCCACATAAGTATGCGATGGACCTTCCTGCGAGGAGACCATCTCTTTATACTCATTAGGTTTTTTCTTTTTTTTCTCTTTTTAGCCCTTTATGGCAGCTTCCTCTTTGCTGTAAGCCAAAGATATAACCAGCAGATTTATGATCATACCAGCACTTCAAAACAACATAGTCTCTATTGCATGTGCATGCCTAAAATTCCCTAATAATTTATCCTAACTGTGTAATATACAACAGTCCCCACTTATCTATGGGATGCCTGAATCTGTGGATAGTATTGAACCCTACAAATGCTATTTTTCCCCCAATAAATACATTCCTGTGATAAAGTTTAATTTATAAATTAAGCACAGTAAGGAATTAACAATAATAATAATAAAATAAAATAATTATAAGATATACTATAGAAAAATTATGTGAATATGGCCTATGTTTACTTCTGGAATTTTCCATTTAATACTTTTGGACAGCAGTGATGGAAACCATAGAAGGCAAAACCATGATAAGTGAGACTATGGTAAATGAGATTTGCCTCTCCGTTTTCAGCACAAACCTAATAATTAAACAATAACTACTTATTTGGCACTTTTACCTACGCAGGCCATTCTATGAATGTATAAAATACAAAAAGTATAGTTTTAATTTTTCATTATTTTTCTTTGCTTCCATATCCTCAGCTTCTTTCTTATCCTTCACAGCGCTAGAATCCACAGGTACAAAGTAAGCAATTGATCACTGATTAGGAGGAATTAAAACTATAAAACAACTGAGGACTAGTAAGAACTCATCATCAATCTCAAAGACAAGAATATCTGGAAATCACCCACTAGAGGAATTTAATAGATCAGCCATGAAATGTCAAAAAAAGAAAAGTCTGCCTTTTTAGTCACCCAGGTCATTTCGACATCCAAAAAGACGACCTATCAATCTACTTGACAAATAGAAAATGAAATAGAATAAACAAATATACAACTAAACCTCAATTGCCCTTTTTGACTGAAAATAATGAACATGGAGGTTGGTGGAAATCTAAAAATTGGTGTTTTCTGTGTTTGTGTTGGCAGAGATCCCGTGCAAAAGTGACCACCTGACCAGGGATTGAACAGCTAAGGAATATAAGGAGGAATTCATTTCCCTTTCCATGAATTCTGCTTCTAGACATTTCTCTTATAAACCATCATAAGTTTTCTCTGAAAATGCTTTCTTTTGAATGAATGCATTGAAAAAACAAAAACATTCTAACATAAAAAGGATGGGATGGGTGTGAATGGATCAGAGAGCGGTCATTCTCTAAGCATCAACACATCCCAGGCCCTGCAGCTGATGTGCGTTCACACGGTCTCAGTTGGTCCAACTGTGCCTGACACCTGAGGAACCCAAAGCCCTGGAAGGGAAAGTAACTTGTCCCAGGTCAACAAGTGACAGTCAGGATTCTAACCACCTCTAGTCTGACTCCAGGGACAAAGTCCTTCTACCAACACCAGGTTACCAACCCATCAATCAGGGCGTTGATTGATGTCTTCAGGCACTGCCTCAGCCCTGGGGGCACAACAGTGAACACAAGAAAATCACTGCCTTTGAGGAATTTACATTCTAGAGACTCCCAAAAATAATCATTCAGGATATTTAAGATATTGAGGATAACTTACAGTATCTTTTAAATGTCTAAAGAAACAGTGAGGAAGTAGTCGTGAAGGTTATCAGAGTACCAAGTCAATAAGAAATTTCATCCTGAGTATTTTTTAAAATTTTTTTAAGTTGTAGATGGACACAATGTATGTATGTATGTATGTATGTACGTATTTATTTGTGGTGCTAAGGGTGGAAACCAGTGCCTCACATGTGCTAGGTGAATGCTTTTATACCTCAGCCACAACCCCAGCCCCATCCAGAGGTACTTTTGCACCCATTTTTCCAAAGCTCACTAAACCAAGGCAGTTTTTTTTTTTTTTAATTTCAAAGTCAACGAAAGGCAGAGAAGACATGCAGGCATGAAATTACTTTAGAAAAAGTCTTATTAATGTCTCATAAATGTAAATTTCATGATTTACCTGCTGTCACAACTACCGCTCCACAGCACCAAACCTACATTATGTACCAGTAGATCCCAGGATCCACATACTCACTTCTTGTGTCATATTTAAGAAAAGAAGTCCTTTTCTCCTTTCCACACAGACACTCCATGGAACTGCCATTGCAGATCTTACTCTGGCCTTCCCCTGACCTCAAAATTGTCAAAGCCTTTGGGAGAAGTTTAGAGTGGCCCAAGTTATAAAGGAAATTGAATATAAAGAGCCATTTCCAAGATTCCCCAAGTTCAATTAAGCAATGTAGAATCATTCTTAAATATGGAACAGACAGCTTTTTTGCACACACATTTTTTTTTTCCCTTTCATGTAAGGGATAAAAATCAATCAGGGCTGGGTGTGGTGGCGCATGCCTGTAATCCCAGCAGCTCAGGAGGCTGACACAGGAGGATTGAGAGTTCAAAGCCAGCCTCAGCAAAAACAAGGTGCTAAGCAATTCAGTGAGACCCTTTCTCTAAATAAAATACAAGAAAGGGGGCTGGGGATGTAGCTTAG